GCCTACAGCGGGAATTTAGCCACTGGTATAAACTGTGCCTGGAGGACTGTTTGGGCGTGCAGATTTACCCTTTGGTGAAAATTGCCAGGTAGACAAGGCTCTTGATATTGCTGTTCAAAATCTCCGTGTTAAAACCCGTACATCCTACTTCCAGGCTTAGTTCTTAGCTCAGCCAAAATTAGAAGCCAAAAGTTCGGGCCAAACTGAGCTATTTGCGTAACCTGCAGAGGTATTCACACAGATGAGGTTTCTCTGGTAAGATGCTGACAACACTCTCAGTTGAACTTCACTTTTGAGGGCTTGGGGAACAGCTATACAAGGGAGGAAGCTGGAAAATGTGGGGTTTTTTAGTAAGAGACTCCAGGTACTTTTTTATGCAGGCTATTAAAGAGAAGGTGAAGGATTGACTTGCTCAGGGTCTCGGGGTACCAATGCAACAGGCAAACACAAGCTTTTCATGGGAGCAAAGGTGTGGCTAGTAATTGCAGCTAACCAAAAGATCAGTATAGAAATGGAGTGAAGTTTCTTAAAGGATGAAGGTAACTAACCTTTAGGAGAGAAGGGCTGCCATGGATCCTTTCTGACTGGCACCTGTCAAGCCTACATATCTTCCTGAAAGATACTCTGGAATTCAAAATTAATTCAGGGTGCAATAAAGTAGAATCCAAACCCCCCACCCAACAGGATTTTAGTTACAAGTTCCCACCATTGCTAAACACAGCTACTGATAAAGGCTAAAGCTGTGGATGTATTTTGGCTCGACGGGTGCTTTAATCTTTGTTTTGCCTCACCCTGTGCTCGGGAGGGCCACACAAATTAGCTCTAACAGTACAGGTATCTACTGGTATCAGATCTGTACTGCACCTCTCAGATGGTTGCAACTCATGGAACTGACTGGCATAGATTGAGTCCACAAATTAAAACTTAGAAATCTAGGCTTAACGCTCCTCTTATGAGGAAAACCAGCCAGACTTCCCATTTCCTTGCTTAAACATTGTTGGGAAGCATCATGGACAGGGCCCCTCCGCTAGAGCTCATAGCATTAACCTTCTCCACTTCCCCAGAGCGCATTTCACCCCGTATTTCAAAATGGCTTAACTTACAGCAGACAGGGACTCTTCATCACCATGTGACATACAAGGTTTTAAAAATTAGGAGTTACTTATTGCTTAAGCTGACACAATAAATCAGCTGCCACATTGAGAATGACAGCCCACTATGATGGATAACCATCGGCACGCTGCGGGGAAGCAGGACACCCTGCATTCTTAGGGGGAGAGATGTAGCCACTGGATGCTGTATTACAATGACTCTCAGGCTCTGGAATTCAGGCTTCTGGATTCAGGCTCTGGAATGGGCTGCCCAGGGAGGTGGTAGAGTCCTCATCCCTGGAGGTATTTAAAAGAAGGATAGATGAGGTGCTTAGGGACATGGTTTAGTGGTGGGATGGCAGGGTTAGGTTAAAGGTTGGACTTGATGATCTTAAAGGTCTTTTCCAACCGAAGTGATACTATGATAATGACAATGAGACCTACAGGGAATGGGTGACTACAGGTTTGCATCTGCAAGTAAAGGGCTCCCTTCTCATCACCAGAGAGCTGCTAGAGATGGTGTTGTGTGGGATCAAGCCCGTTCGGTTTCAAGAAAGGAGGAGGAGCTGGATGAACCTGTAGATTCAGTCTCTTTGAGCGAGCTCTGTTCCTCAGAAGGATTCACTGGGGGCCTATTACAAACCAAGGAGGGGGGTGATGGGGTGTTTGATGTGCTAACCAAACACTCCCAGCCAGAGATGCACATGTCTGCTTAGGAAAGCAACACGTTTTCAAAACAATTCTCCCCTGACTGAATTAGGTAGGAAGTACAAGGATTCCGTGTCTCTTCCATTTCCAAAGGCTGAATCACTGACAGCCTCATTATTTGCATTGGATCCCAGTCCATTAACATCATTTCGGTCCACCAAGAACCAAAAGCGCGCACCTCTAAATATTTATAAGAAGGGAGATTCTCCCTCCAGGTTCATTTCCAACAGCCGCTTCCAACACTGGCTCTCCAAATGGCCAACCCTTCCAGCACAACTGTTTCCTGCACATCCATCTGCTCCCTCTGTTGGGATAAACACGCGCCTCCCCTGCTAGCCATGTGGTTCCGACTCCTCCCTGCGGTGCGCGCGCTTAGTGGGGATGCCCCGCAGAATCTTTACGGCGAGTGTGAGTCACAGAGAGAACCCAGCTGGATATCTGGAAGCCCATTTGGGTTTAGGAATTAGCAGGATGCGGGAGACTTCTTCTTTTCTTTTAAACCAATCCATGAAGCAAGTCCAATATGGAATTACGGAGTTAATAGACGTGAATAGACTGCCTGCCATTTGTCGCAGAGTCATTTCTATGACTCCGGCTGGAAATACCAAGTAGTAAATGAACAGAGAGACTGAAATCCACCCGCCCTTCCCCAGTTGCTCCAAAAGGCAGTTTTGCAGAACGTGAACGGCTGGATCAGACTGGCAGGGGGCGGAAAGCTACTGCCTCTGCCGTACCTGCTGCTGGTCAGCAGATAAACAAAGCAATCCTATTTCCAGGGCTGTGAAGCCAGCAGTAAATTTACACAGCCATCCTTTTAATAGCTTTGAAAAATAAAGGAAAACAAGGCACAGTCATTTCGAGCTCCATTAGAATCAGAGTGAGAAAAATCAATGTTTGACAAATAGGAAGGGACAAATTCTGGATAAGGAAATGCCGCTCAGCTTTTCGAAACATCTGTGTTTTTCAACAGGCGATCAAATAGCGAGCAGCCAGATGCCTTTGAAATACCTATGCACTTTATGGCAGGAGCTGTTGAAGTGTATTGAGAGTCCATCTTGCAAGCAAGTGGGACAGAGCTCTCATTAGCAATTACTGCATCCCTCAGCCAAACACACCGGCAGCAGGGCTAGTTCTGCAGTCCTTGCTCAACACGTCTGTGCCACCACTTCTCTGCTGGCAAAAGCCTGTTTATGATTGTTCCCGGTCAGCTGGTTAAGCTTTAAATGTGTACTTGGGTTAGGAACATATTCTGTCCATGTTAACTGATCACAGACTCGGACTAATTTAGGTTGGAAGGAATCTGTGGAGGTCATCTAGCCAACCTCCCACTCATGAAATGTAAAGCGAGATAGAGAGAGGGTGCAGGGCTTGCTTTTGGGGTGCAGGGGAGGGGGGTCAAGAACTGTATCATATTCCTGCCCCAGCATCACACCCTCTCGGCTGCAGTTACCATGCAAAAAATGAAGTCTGGCTGTTCATAGGCGACACCTGAACTGTGACGGCTTGGATTTCCAGGAGCAGTGAGTCTCCTCCTTGCCAGAGACATGCTGAGTGTCACCACCTGCCATGGGAAATTTCTCTCCATGCCCTGGCACTTGACACTGCCAGCCTCTGAACCTATCCTTGCCGCGGCATCCTGCCTTCCTTCCCCCTTCCCCAAACCCTGCCATTCCCAAAATTGCCTTGGGTTGCAGCACCAGGTGGGCTTGTGGACAGCACAGCTTTCTCCACTTCCCCAAAGGCTGTGACTGCAACGTGCCCTATTCTTGTCAGCATTCCCCAAAACATTCTTAATGCTCAATACGCCTAATGATGTTTAGCCCACCCGGAGTAAGCACTACAGTAAGCCACAGACGGGGCTGCGAAGCATGCCTCAAGGATCTCCCCCTTTCCTCTTTGTTTCACCCCTAGTTGTGGGAAACTCTCCCTGAGGACTTTTTTCAGCTCCTTGACATTTATGCAACAATTTTCCTTCAGCACTTGGAGTCTGCAGCGTGCTGTTCCTTCACTGCATGTTTACCTTTTCCTTTAGGAAGCCGGCAGAACTGAGCTCTCGGGGTGCACTTGTCTTGCAATACTTTGCAGAAAGCACATTTTGCCTAGCACGTTTGTTCCCTGGACCACAACTCCAGGTACCCCTGGTCTGCTAGCGGAACATTCCAACAGAGCCAAGCCCCTCGGCGTTTTCCTATAGCAAAGCTACATACAGGACCTCCTGGGTAAAAAGCAATTACATATTATTTGTAAATCTAACAGCCTTGGATTAAGCCAAAGACAAAATTTGATCCGATTTAGCCTCTTTTTTCCTTGTCAGATAACTGCCTCTGGCCTTTTTGCACTTTTCCGAGCTCCAGCCCTCAGCCTGAGAAGCAATTTTACTACAAACGAAGTCAGTCGCTGCCACGAGACCGTACGGCGTTCCCGCTCTGCGGAGGGGTGTTTACCTTCCTGACTT